GGTTGAGTCCCCATCCCTGGAGGTATTTAAAAGACGTGTAGATGAGGCACTTAGGGACATGGTTTAGTGGGCATGGTGGTGTTGGGTTGACGGTTGGACTCGATGATCTTAGAGGTCGTGTCCAACCTTAATGATTCTATGATTCTATGATATATAAAGTAAACTTAAAAAGGCAAACAAGGTGTTAAATTGAATTGAAAAGATAAGAAGCAAAAATGGAAGTCCATGTTTCTATCCATATTCTCTTTTGGATCTTGGAGACGAGCTACCAAACCAGCTTCCATACTGGCCTACACTCATAAAAAGAGCTGCAGGTACTATGTGTCATGCCAGGGCTGCTGAAAAGATCATTAACTTCTTTTCGGGACACACAGCTTTCTGGTCATCAATCCACCAAATTCACAGAAGTCACCCCAGGCAAAGAATTCATTAATTCCAGGACAAATAAAGCAGAAATAAGCATGTTCAAAATGTAAATGATCTTTGTTTCCTGTTTTTCACATAATGTGGAATAAAAGGCAGTGGAAAAATGCACTGATACAGCCTGATAACATGTGGCAGGAGAGAGAAACAGACTCCCACTACATAATGGTACCTTTATGATCCTCCTGTTCCAGAGTCTTGTCTCTGCTTTGGGAATACAACTTTATATCATTCTATTTATTATTAAATTTTACTTCTTGTAATAAAAAAATTGAAGTCAACAGTAACAAAACTCAGTCTTTACCATATCCCTGCTGACCCAATTATCCTTTGAAGAGGTATAATCAGTCACTATGGTTATAAATGTTAATGCAATGGAAGGCATTAATATTATTCAGGAAAAAAAAAATATCACAAACTCAATTCTAATCCTTACAAAAGTGAAACATTACAAAAATGATGAATAAATAAATGATCAGAAGATAAAAGTTAGCAGCATATTCTATAGGCTGTTCGTCATCAAGCTTCAGCCCCATAGGTTAAGTAAACACACATGCAATCCACCCGTATGTCAACATTATCTAAATGTTGTTCTGATTGCCAATTGATTTTCATCTCTTGGGGACCTGATCAGGCTATTTGTAAAGCACGCATGGACTCAGCACAGATTTCACTGAGGCATCCAGGCAGAGCAACCTGCACGTACTTATGTGTGCACGTGTGTGTTTGTATAAGTGCACACACACTTGCATGGGCACGTGTTCATTTGCAGAACTATTATTTAACTACGGAACTTGCTCAAAATACAGAGGCCTTTCAGTAACCTTTTCCTATCAGATGCGTTAGATAAAGGGCCAAAATCAAAGTGATACAAGTATTCTTCAAAAAGCCTGGGCAAACATCCTGGAAAAAGCAGCACTCATAGTACAGATGTTAAATAATTTTCTTTTTAATAACAAAATTGTGTTGGCCATCGAAAAACTGTAACATTTGTGATGCATCTATTCCAACATAAATATATTAACTGTTAACCACACACACACCCCCCTCACAGGAAGAATTTCCAATTCATAGGTGAATTGTATTGGATTACCTATTATTGCATATACAATATATGACTCATGTTCAGTAATTTCTAGTTGCACATGTACAGCTAGAACTTAATAACCTTTCTCTAAAAGGTTACTCATCCTCTCCTTTAAACGCATCTCTTAAAGGCCTGACATGATTTTTCCAATATAGTATTATTTTTAACTTTACGTATCTTTTCATGTACAACTGTATTAAAAAATTACTTATTCCCACAATAAAATCCATTTTTTCTCCTTTCAGATCTCCTGTTCAGGTTTCTTATGCTAGACATACTAAGGCCAACAACCCATAAAAATCTCTGGTCTCTTCACACTGTGAGGTATAGCGTAATTTAGAGGCAAAAAACCCTGTAGAGAAAATTAGCATATACAAGATGCTGTCACTTTTCAGGATTACAGCTTGCCTGAATATATAAGGCCATCTAAATTTTAAATGATACACACCACTTCAATTACAACATTATAGCTTAATCTGAAGCTAGCAATTACGTTTTGTAAAATAAATTAATACTTCATTTTAAGAAGCCGTAGAGAAGTCCAAACATCCAAAGTATGCTTTTGTTAAGTCATTAAATTAATGCACAGATTTGTCACCTCTTTTCTCACAAGCTTTGATCAACTTCTTCCATCTTCTCAATTTGTCTCCACATAAAACTGTTCAACATGCTACAAACAGCATTATACATGAGTCCTCCAACATTTCCTGTCAGATACAGACAGCGAGACTCTGCCCTTCAAGTGTTACAGCACCTTCTCAATGGAGGCTTCATTTTCCACCACAGACAGGCCTTCTGAAACTTAAGTGTTTTCTTCTAACTGGTTTGCCTGTCAGACAGAAGAAAAATGATCATTGAAAAGCAGTTTACATGTCTTATATTTCTTGTCCTATTTTATAGGTTAATATTAAATGTGAAAACCAGAATTCATTGATCGTTTAAAAATTAGAAGCGAAACGGTATTCAAAAAGCTCAAAAATTCTTCTTTTTTTTTTCATTTCAACTGAATGCAGTATTACTATGTATTAGACATAAAAAGAAAGCATAATAGCGTGTGTAGTGTGATTAAACTGATTACCAGATGATTAACAAGCTAGGATATCAAGAAAAACGTAAGAACATCATATATTCTTTTATATCTACACTAAGCCTGCTTAGCTCTCAACTAACAATTCCTTTCCCATAGGAATTTAAACCCCCCCCTTTAAAACTAATTCTCTGGTAAGCCATTCCCAACCTTAGGGAACATACTTCACATTTTCTATTCTATTACCTGTTGAAACAAACAAAACTTTCATTTCCCACTTCAAAAGTTCTATTTAGTGCATATCAACAACAGGAAAACACTTTAAATGGCTCTAACCCAAGAGACTAATGAAGGATAAAACAATTCCTCAGATACATATTAATTTTGGATTATGTTCCACTACAAAACATGACAAAAAGGCACAATCCAATATATGAAAAATATGCCTAGTTGTTTTGCCGTAAAAGCACAGGAATGTTGCTGAATGTATTGTCCCTGGTTATTTTAGGCTGCCTTTCTAAAATTTGTTTTCCTTTAAGGAAACAAAATAGTATTAATTTGCGTATAATTTAATACATACAGATGAAAGCTGTTAGCCTTTTCATCTTTAAGAGCCAAACAAAGAATCAATTTAATCTCCACCGAAAGCGAGAGAAAGATGGCTTTAAAAACTTCATGCACAATCTAAGCAGTATGCATTAAATCATGGTTCGCATAAGATAGGGGGAAAATAATGCAAAGCTACAGTAAAAAAAAAAAAAAATTACTCTGTCTCTTCGTTTTTAAGCACTTGGTATTTGGGACTCTGGAGATCTTCAATGCTCTCAGCAATTGGCTTATTTAGTGTTTCTGGCAGAAGGAGAGTCAGGAATCCCGCTGACAGTCCACTGATTCCAAACACCACGAACGGTACAGAAGGACTAAGAGATTTCTAAAATTAAAAATCCATAGTAAAAACCCAGCATTGTTTCCTGCTCTTAAAATATACGATCCATATGAACTGCAGTCAAAACCAAAAGACTACAACTTTTCACTCCAGCAATTTGTGCAATTATCCATACACTGGTAGAACAAAGAAACCCAATAAAAGTCATTTCACAGAAACAGCTTCATATGAAAACTTTGTTTACATGCCTAAAAACTCAGATACTGAGTGAGCCTTAGCAGTACCAAATGCATTACATGACAATCATTTCACTAATAGATGAAATATTAACACAACACAGAACATTAGGTTATTTCCACAAAGAGGATAAAATACTAGGTATTTTTAAACATCTTGTTCATTAATTCTTGAAATTGAGTGAACATAATTTAATTTTTCATAAAAACAATTTTTTTTCAAGGAATATAGGCATATGTGGTACCAAAATCAGCAAAGTGCTTTTGAGAGAGTTACATAAAAAGTAGAAAATAATCTTACCATAGATGGCACAAATGGAGCCAAAATGCCCCCAAATCTGCAAGACATGGAACAGACACCCAAGCCAGCATTTCTGTTTCAAACAAAGGATGAAAGATTTGTAGTTTCGGAATACACAACTGAATCATGCATGAACATGTGGTGGCACTGTCGGAACCAACTTACACTTTTTTTGAAGTTATCAATAGTCTTTATTTAAAAAAAAAAAAAAAATCAATCTTTGAAGACCTCCAGCACTTACTCCAAAGATTTTCTACAACTAGCTGCTAGCAAGGTAAATCACACCCTTTCAAACCCTAGCAAAACCACCCTGTTGTGCAACCCTTCACAAAACTTTGAACAAAGAGAGAGGTTTTCCAACCTGCCATATAGGGCAATTTAATTGGACATCCCTGTGCTGGATGGGGAATGATTTCAAAATTTGGCAGGCAGGATCTTCAGACAGAAGATCCTGAACGCTATCTCCAGCTCAGGCCGTCGTCAGCGGCCTCTCTTCTGCCACCTCAGGTTGCACAGATGAAAAGTCAGTGCTTACCTCCAAACAGAAAATAACTATTTGCCAGTGTGAAACTTGAAAACATCGGGCCAGATGTGTCAGTAGAGGGGCTGCTGAATTCTGCCCTCCCTTCAATTTTCAGACAAGTTTAAAACAATCTCATCTAGACTGTGATAATCAAAGCATGGGTTAGAACAGCAGGATCCTCTTCAAAGAAAGTTACAAAAATCCTCAAAGTCCTTCATTTCCTGCTCAAATGCAAAAATCTTCCATCTCTGTGTCACTCCTAAATATGGTACTTAACAGCCCCTTCAGAGACTGACGTTGGCACCAGTCATCAGTGAGACAGCAAGAACCAGCTCATGGTGGCTGTTCTTCTCCCTACGTCTCTCGGTTGCTTCCTCTCATTCATCATCATCCTCAGTCACACCACTGAGCTGAGCTGCTCCTGCTCACCCTGTTTCCTTTTCTTCCTCCAAAGACAGGAAGACAGTGACAGGTTTAAAGATGACAAGCAGAGAGGTGACATGGGTCGCTAGTATACCAAAACCACCCGCCTGCACGTCCCTTCCTAATGGCCCTTTGCACAGGTTAAGGGAAACAGATGATGGAAGGAGCTGATGAGAAGCCAGTGACTTCGGTGTAAAAATAAACAGACAAAGCAACCATTTCTCTCATCAGGTCCTCTTGGGAAAAGGAAAATAGCAACCCACGCTTCCTCACATTGAGGCAACATCGACCCAGACCCCACAAGACGAGGCCAAGCACCTCCCCTGTCAACAAAATCCCTGAGCAGATGAGAGACACCAGTCTGTGTGTGAACCATTCATTGAGAAGCATCCTTCCCACAGACCCTAAGCCTGTCCATATCCAGAGGTTTGCTGGCTTCTTTTTTTCTGCCGAGAGGGAGAAGGGCAAAAGGTGATCCTAAATGCAAATTGCGTCATTTCAATTCCAATGCAAAATGAAAGCAGTTGTTGAAAGACTTTATGAAATCTTTAATTCAGAATTCAACAGAGTTCGGGTTATGCAGAACGATGTCATGGTGTCCAAGAGGAAAAACGGATTATCACCCAAGAACTATTAGTAAGTATTCTTCAGGTGCTGCACTGACGATAGCTGACCACACACCGCCTGTCTTACCTTACTGCCCCAGTTTTACCACGCTCACTAGAAGACCTACTAAACCTGACTGACTGCACATGCTCCTACCATCCCACGGAGCACAGCGCTGAGCTAATGCCAGCCAAAATAGCTCTACAACCAGGGTTATCGCATCAGCCTGGGGCTTTGCTCAAGCCAATTAGTCCCGCTGCAGCTGCCTGGCAAATTACACATGCCGTGTGGCACTCCTCTGGCTGCGCTGCTTGCCCAGCACTGCCCGGTGAGTGGGGTACAGCCCTGCGCAAATGCAAAAGTTTCTCTGCTGCTGGCACTGGCAGCTCTCAAGTTTCACTAATGCTCACCAAGGATTGTTGTTCAACAGAAGGAATTATGGAGAGTTCCTTGCAAAGAAAGCCAGAGACCAAAAGGGCAAGTATTTTAAAGAAGTCCAAACTTATATACCACCACTGACATAAGCAAAAATACAACAGTTTCCCCAATGTGAAAATAGGCAAATAAGCTTTCCAATGTGATCCTAGACAGTCCAATGGCCCCACTCTGATTCCACCCATCCCACACAAGGATGCCATCGTTTTCCAACCATTTTCTCATGAAGAAAACATGAGTTTTACATCTTTATTACTAGAGCTATGATTACATTTTGTTTCCAAAGACAACCTTCCTTTTTGTCCAAAATCCAACAGTAGTGAGGTTTTCTATTTTTAACTTTTTTGTTCCCCAGCGGGTACTTTAAAGACATGTCAAAAAGGAAAAAAGCCCAAAGCACGCACACACTCTCCAGCTTGCAGCACCTCCCCATTTCTAGCACGAGGTGTATTTGTCATTCCTCCATGTACCAATTAACTTAAAAAAATATGCTTAACAGTCCTCGTGCTTAAAGTCCTAAGTAGGTTTAAATAAGGAGCAGTTATACTGAAGACATTTAATTTTTCTGCAAAACATCCCACTGGGAAAAAAAAAAAGGAAAAAAGTTTATTCCGCCTCCTCGCCACTGCCTTTGAACGGTAGCTGTCTCATCACATGGCATGCCTAAGCTCCGCTGTCAGAGCAATGCCAGGATCACCACAAAGCTTTGCAAAGACCACCAGATGGTGCTGATGCTTTGCTTTAAAGTAAACACTTGCCCATCACTAATTTTCTTGCATAAACCATAATATTTGCAATTAAAGTGCCAGAGAGATATCAAACAAATTAAATGCATAAATTGTCACGTGAGGAATTTTCAAATGGTTTAATGTAATAGTTTGCCATATTATTAATCACGAGTTGTCTAATGAAGTTGCTAATTTTCTAAACTGCCTTTGCTCGTACATTTTCTCCACTGGCGGTCTGTATCTTTGACACATATAGTTACTTTTGTGCCAGAATATTAGTGCAGATTCTCAAATGAAGTAGCACTTTACCCGATTAATTTTATTTTTTTTTTAAATCTTCCTAAAAACAAACAGTTTCAAACACACTGAGACACTACTGTAATTCCTGCTAGGTATGAGCTGTCACATACTTGGCCCCACACATCAGTGGGACTTCGGAAGACAGAGTAACATGAAACATGAGAACGCTGTGAAACAAGGAAAAGCTGAGAAATTAAAACATTTTCAGAATTAATTCTCTTGATTCTCAACTCCAGAAAAGCAGAGCGGACAGGAAAACAGAAAACAAAAATCACCCACTAGAAAAAGAGACCTTAAAGAACATGAAAGTTTGGACAGATAGAATGTAAACAAACCCCCACACCCAATTTCAGTCAGCGTGCTTGGGACTTGCATATTAAACCTAAACCTTTGCCAAGAATCACAAGCTAAGTATCTAGAAATATAAATATATATATATGTAGAAGTATATATATCTAAGTATATAGAACAGTCAATCCACCTCCATCCTCACAAGTTTTATTGCAAAAACTGCACTCACAGTCTAGCTTTTATGCCTCCATACATATGGGAAATTGAACCTCTAAAGAAAATTGAACCTCAAAAGAAAAAAAAAGCCAATCCAAGGCGTCACCCACACGTTTATTCTTCTTCCCCAAAGCCCTCAGTGTCCTGGAATTGGGTGATTTATGTCACCATCTTGATTACCTCTACGGTGCTACAGGACACATCTACCAGCCAGGACGCCTTCCTACTCCACGTCAGCTTTCAATGTTCCCGCTCTCTCAAAAGAGGGCTCAATTTTTGCGGTAGTTTTGTAGTTGCTGTTTTTGAGCAACTAGTGCAATATGGCTCAAATTCTGAATACCTACTTTGAGTACCATTCAGAAAACCACGTGGAACCAAGATGGGGGCTGAGAAGAAGAGGACCGTGTGGTATTATATTTTCCTATCTCAGGTTTATCTTGGGACATGATAGAGCGTAACCTCACAAAGCGTTGGCAAGAACTATGAAAAATAAACTAAGGTTTTAGCCCACTTGTTCATGAATTAAATGGTGTAAAGCAAATTACTGTCGTATAGAAACTATTAAAATTAGTTGCAGCATGAATATTTAATTAAATAACAAAGATATAGAAAAGCACCTGTTTTTTCAGGAGGCAAACATAATCATATGGGATATATAAGTATACAGAAAGACTGTAAATAGTCCTTACTGCATAGTCTGTATTTATAATTAAGTTAGCATACACTTCCATTGCATCATTATGTTTGGTTTTGCAGCCTGTAATTTTACTCCCAAAATCAATAGTAGAAATGAGACATATGGCACCTAGCGTTGCAGTGTAAGAAGCTGGTTTTCATATTTTTATTCTGGATTCAGACGTAGTGGAAGTTGCCACAAACAGCCCAGGAAAGTGCATTGGTGCAAAAAATGGGACTAATAGGAGAAGCCCTTTCAAGCCCTGGCAAGCTGCCTTAGTTACAGAAAGAACTCATACTGATATTTCAGGTAAAAATAATTACAGATAAATATTAAAGCACACCAGCAATCGGTATTGCTGTGCGTGAAGACTATTTTCATTTACCCAGAAGCTCTGTTAAATTACCTCAGTACTGTTGGGTATAGTTCAGATGTATAAATATACACGATGTTGAAAGCGGCGCTGACCATCATTTTTCCACACAAAGCTAACAATGTGGGACTGAGGAGCAGACCTTTCAGGAAAGAAAAAATAAGCTGTAAGCATAAATAGTCTGTTTTCTTACTCTTTTTACACAATGTTGAAAACATCCAGTCCTCTTTAAAAGAGACTGGCACGCAAAAACAATGTTTCATCTATATGTTTTTCAACTACAAGCACAAAAGCAATTATCTCAGTTCTTCCCAACCATTCTAAGAGCTAGCATAAGAGTAGATACATAAAATTATATTTAGGACCAAGAAAATCTGCCCCATTTGGGGGGGAAAGTGTAAAACTATCACAGCTCTAGAAGGAAGAGATAACGCTTCCAGCTCTGCAGTCAGAATACCTTACCAGGTAACATCTTTTGACGAGCACAAACAGACAATACAACCTCCTTGACTAATTTATTAGATTAAAACCATAAAACTTGATTCACCTCAACAGCTTATTTGCTCCCCAAGGACATCCTGTTGGGACTTAAAATGCAGCAGCTCTGTAATTGGAAGGAACAAATGCCAATGCAGCCCGGTTTACTAACAGACAGTCTTTAGTTGGCTGAACTGAAGTGTGGTTCTTTTAAAGTCCAAAAGAAACCTGGCTTTTGTTATCCTGATTTTGGATATGGTTATGTTAGCACCATCCATTTTAATAAAAAGAGAACTTAATACATTTCTTAAAGCATGGAAAAAAGAACGAATGCTTTAATTAGCTGTATTTCAGGTTCTCTTCCTCAACACTGAGTTCAGCATGTTTCTGTTTGGATCAAATTATGTTGGTTAAGTAATGGGAAAATTTGATTGCTTCTCAATTGCTTTTAATTTTGCTGTTGAATATTTTCAGTTCTATTCTTCTGATCAAGTCAGATTACATTTCAGCTGAAGCAGAAATTCATTTGTATGTAAACTGAAATCCAGAAACTTGATTTAATTTCTTTAAGCGTGATGCATTTTTGCAGTTATTTCTGTATTGCATGAATGCAAAACAGATGCAATATTTTCATCCGAGTTCTCCTTTTGCTCGGTAAGAACTGGAATATTACATACAGTTGCCAGATGCAAAGGTGCGAACCTGGTCCTCAGAGGCCTGCTGGGTGCCATCAGAAAACTGGGACCTTCCTCTGCCTCCACCAACCAAACACGAAGCGATGAAGAGATTTGTAATTCTGCAATGTGTTTTAAAACTTGCTGTTTTTCTCCCAGGGCGACAAATGGAACATTGCACATCCGCATACTAGAAATTTAGCATTAGTGCACTTGGGAAGTTTTGGTCTTACTGTCAGAACAGAAGAAAGAGTCTGTCTAGACAGAGAAATTAGCACTCAGAAGCTCAGGAGTGAATTTAAGAGCACTGTCTTCTCCAGGTTCCCTCCCTCAGGGGAGGCTGAAGGCTGGCCATATGGGGAATTACTGTGGGATTTCAAGCACGCTGGAAATTCACTGCACACCAGCTTCCTTGTGTAAGCAAGTCCAGATATAGTCATTATATTTTCCTCAGAGTCTTGGAACATATTTTCAGCAATTCTTGCAGAACAGTCCATTATTTTCTTTACATATATAAAATGTAACACCATTAAGCAGGAACGCACTTTCTCCTACGAGGATTCTTTGACCATTTATAGGTCATTCGCTAGGTCCAGCCAAGCATGTCCATGCCGCATCTTTAACACTTCTATTACATTTTGTCTGACACCCTTTCACCTGAACGTCCAGTAGCAGCAGTCTACACACAGTTCTGCCTGAAACAGTACAGTCAGGGCACCTGTTTCAAATTTTGGTAAAAGACAAAGTTGTAAATTCTTACTAAATTCATGCATTTGAGTTTTACTGATAAGGAATAATGTTCCATTAATTGATCTTTTGAATTTAGGGAAGTAAACCAGGGCAAAATGATAACAAATAGTGCTGATGTAACTCCTGTTCTAGAAGCTCTTAAACAAGTTTTGATGCCATCACTGCCATCAAGAGTCTCATTTGCAGTGCTGTTATGTAGATTCACCTTCTGGCTGTCGTCTTCATAAGTAAAAGTTCACTTAAACAGTACTTTTGAAACTAAAGGAGTCTCTAAATTTACTTCAGAAAAGATATCCACCAAGAAAGGTTAGTTCTCAACAAAAGGAAATACCCAACATTAACAAAAGCTGAGACAATTAAAATAAAGTCTCCTTTGCTTGCTATAGTATAAAGCAGATACAAAAGGCAGAAGATGTCTTTGTGCTTTACAGCAGCTTTTGAAAAAAAAGAACATTACAGCTCCATTCCCCCTCCACTGCCACTCTCCCTCACCATCTTCCAATCTCATACTCACACAAATTAACTGATGAGTTCTAAGTGATAAGGAAAGAGGGAGCTGAGGGATGTATCAGTTTTTACTTAACCATTGAGAGGTTTTTAGCCTCAAATTCAGTACACATCTTTAATAACGGAAATGTTCTTGGCTTATTCCACAGGGGAGATGACTTGGACCAGATTCTCATTCACAAGTTAGCAGAGTTGTTTAGAAATCGAGTGAAGGTTACAGACATGAGAGGCAAGTGCCTAATATCTCATTAAAATCTTAAATCCCTTGCAATAAAAGTCAAGGCTCTTGTCAGTCACTCCGAAGAATGCAGACTTAGACAAACGTAAGAAGTGTTCTCCTTAGTAACAGGAGGGTCAGATTAGAGATGCAACAACCCTCATTTCATCCAGCAAGTGGCTCATCTTCATCATGCTTGAAGCTGCATTTCCTTCTACTTAACTGACACAGATCACTCTGGGCCAAGAACCAGCTTTACTCTTACCACAGTGGAAAGTAAGACGTTTTAATGGGATTAAAGTCAACTCAACTGGAAAAGGCAGAAGATTTCCTGAAATTTAGCAACTCTTCAGGAATTATTACCCTATCCTGATTAGTCACTACTGCTTTTCTTTCATTTTGTTTTAAAATATATAAAAAGAAGCAGAAAAAGCAAACTTGTTGGAACAAAGGAAGAAACAGTCTCAATAAAAGGAGCAACAAAGCATCTGAGGACTTGAATTAACACAAGCATGGCAAATAGGATTATGGGATATTTTTTCTCTCTCTGTTTTTCTTCCTGAGACTTTCCTGAGAGCAATTTGAAATGGATGCCAGACAGCATTTATAACTGTTAAGGATAAACACAACCTACAGAAGGCTACCTTGTAATCACATCGCTGGTGCTCCTGGGTCAAAACACTGTTAAAGCTAAAACATTTCTACTGAAGCAATATTAAAGAAAATACAAGCAGAGAGCGGCCACTTCTATTTGTTAGTGTCATACAGGCATAAGTTTTCAGTAGCTAAAATAAACATTAGTACAGCAAAACTGTATTTGAAATGGAAAGAAAAGTGAAAATACAAAACCAAACATATGTGAATGTCACTGACAATGTTAGAAAAAACACATCTTTTGAGATGAGAAATATACGTGATGATACTCCACTGTTACCGTGAACTGTCCTCACAACTGCATAGGGCAGCGATACACAGCATGAGATTGAGAAAGGCAGCAAGTTTCTTGCCATCCCTACGCCTTCCATATTGCAATTCTGACTTCCATTTCTAATTTTCAAATACAAAATATAGTTTTTTAAAGCTTTAGTGGTTTGGGTTTTTTAATGATTAATTAAGCTTCTAATTCAGGAAAACCTCGGTTCCTATTTCTATAAATATTACATGCCACCAAAACAAATGTAAAATTAAGCTTGGCATCTCACACTGTCAAGATCCAGTCAAACTAACATTACGTTGCACTGCAGTCTGGCTATTAAATCCAGTATTTTAAGGTAAACTGCAGTTAATGCAGTGTCAGTATTTGAGACAGAATGCGATAGCTTGGTCTGACCTTCAAAGAGCCAAGGGCTTGCAGCCAAACTTACGTCAATTAACAGGGTCAAGTTATGCCAGCAAGAAGTTAAAAGCAATATGAACAAGACCGTGGCTCCCTGACCAGCCCCGGAAGGAAGAGACAGAGAAAGAGAGAGGTATAAATGGATAGGGCTTTAGGCCTGATATACTCGGTCACAAAATACTCGTTGTTTTGTCAGCTTTTATCTGAATTAACAAACATCTACTTTAGCCGCAGTACATACTTACCAGCATTTGTTGGTAAGAACATGGTAAATATACAGGCAAATCCTGCAAATATCAGAAAACATGTCATAGTTTTACGTCTTCCAGACCTAGAAGGAAAAAAGCACCCAGGTAAAGATGGAAACAAAGTCCTTCAGTATTTTTTGAATTTGTCTGCAAAATACCAACCAAAGTACACAGGAGCATTAATAACAGTTACAACAGTTACAAATCTACTGTACTGCACTGTAAGTGCTTCAAATCTTGCATTGTTTCCCTAGTTCTGTGTACTGAAGTCCCCCCACAAAAGCTTTCCTATTTCTAGCCAAGTTTTGATTTTTAAGCTATTGAATTTGTAGCCTTGAGAAGAACCCATCTACTTCAAAAACAAGAACTCACAGACTTTTTTCTTCTCCGTACTGAGCAAGGCAATGGGCCCTGTGCATACACACAAAGATCAAATTAATATTGGTCAAGAAAATGTAATTCTAATGCTTCCTAATCTGTATTTCTCTTTTACAAGTTTGCATAAATATATGCAGTTATGGCACACAGCAAAACTATTTTGTATGCTTTTCTAATAGTATACACATGGAAATAAGCAAAGGCTATTTCTACTGCCTAGTGTTTTAAAAAAGAAGAGAAGATGACAGGATAGACAGTGAGACCAAAGCATCATTACAAAGATACTCAAACCAAAGGTTACGTGAAACCCTGAGTAGCTCTGGGTTGCCAGACTGTTCAGCCTTTGGAAATAAGTACCCACATAAAGGACGGCCTCCAAATACACTGAAAAGTATTAAAATACATGGACATCGATCATTCATGCTTTAACGAAAACTGAACGGCTCTCACTTCAATGTTCTCTTCAAAAAGCTTAAGTAAAAATGAACAATGCTGAAAACCGCTTTCAACTGCAGTTGGTAGGCAGTACAAAAACAAGTCATTCTGAATGAAATATCTAAGAGAAATATATAAGCTATAGATACTTAAATAACTAGGCTACTCATATTTTTTCCATAAAGACCAAACTTTTTTAGAAACATTAATAATTGAAAAGCCTATTTCTTGAGTAATTCAAAAGATGAACAAAACTAAAAAAGAGAAGAGGTAGAAAATCGGAGTCCCATTTCTGTATCAACTGCAGAAACCCCTGCAGCGGAGTAAATCCCCAAAGAATCAACAGTGTTTAGAAAAACAGTGAAGTATCTTACTGAGAAAAATGTTAATATTTTTCTAAGTTATCTACAAACATATGCAGAAAACTAGGAAACAAGTTTTTCTTACCAGGATTTCTCAATAAAAAACATGCAGAGAGGAAATGCTGGAACTTCTACAAGACCAGAAAGAGCCACATTTAAATACAGATTTCCTCTTAATTCACCAGCATTTAAAGTTAGACCATAGTACACAAAGCTGCAGACATACCTAAAAATAACCATAAAAGTTATATTACTAACATAACTAGTCTTTAGGGCTAAGAAAGTATTTAAAAGGTAAATTATGCCGAGTTATGGATTAGCTATATTGAGTTACATGCTAGGAAGAGAACTCTTATTTCCCCTCAAAGGAAAACAAGGCAAAGAGAATAGTTCCTATTTAATTAAACAAAGTAACTTCTTGAAAGAAAACAAGTGCTCATATATACGCACAGCATAACTTTCGGAATTTTCTATTAGCTTGGGTTTTTTCCTAGGTTATTTAGCAACTCTAGTAAGCTTAACTGTAAGCAGCCGATGCTTAACTGTTGCAAAGCAATCCTATGAAAGAAAATTATATGTACATCCATTGCTTAACACAGAGTGTCTTCCCCAAACCTAGGGAAGGCCTCCCCAACAAACCTATTATCACTTTCCTTGGAAAGAACTAAGCCCCACAAAACACAACACTGGGTTGGAAAGGCCACCAGATACTACAAAGACATTTTGCCTATTCCCTAGTTGCTCCCTTGCTGTCCAAGAAGAATCTGGGCCAAGCGATGTAGAAAAGGAAAGGAAAGTTTTGCCCGACACAGGGAGAAGCATGTCCTCTGTCAGTCACAGCTGAGGGTGGTGCTAAAGGCTCCTGAGCAACAGCAGAAGGAGCTGGGTGACAACCGCTGTGACACCACTCCAACAGCTCCGTGCACTGCATCTTAACAGGGTCTGAGACAGAAAAACAGTGCTGCGACCTCTTCTTGCAGAAGGTAAGAACGCCTTTATGTCATTTCTCATCACCGTAATTACTCGTATTTACCTACCAGCAACTTAAGAGTCTAAGATGCTTCTGGAAAGCTCCTACTTAGCAAAGATGTTCCTGCTGCTTCTCCCGCGTCCTGCACATCTCTGCCTACCCCGTACAAACTACTGCTTTTTCTCATCTACATCCTGACAATCGTCTCAAATGATGTTGAACTTTAAAGGGAAAACTTGTTCTTGGCATTTTGGAAAAGAGCTGTTCCTCCAACAGACTTTAGCTCCAGCCAACTTGCAACAGCTGCTGCTGTAACAGCCAACCCAACACCCTCCCCACCCCAGGGGCTCCCTCCGCACTGCCATTTATTGCTAATATATTATGTTACACCCTCCTGTGCTTCGGGGTGATTTTTTTTTCCAAGTTGTACCACTTTTCAAGACAGCACCTAATATAAATCTATGCAATCTGTATTTTATCTTGCCCACAGTTTTCCTCCACTGAACATGTGTAATGTGCTTTTGGGCTCTTAACGCTTATTCTTACTCCAGATCTCTACCGTTGTCTAATCCATGTGGTCCTTTTCGTCCTAAGACTGGTTGAAATACATATCCTGTCGGTAATTTCTGCTTCAGCTTCTCATTTCACTCAGTGTAAATATTATGTTCTCACCAGATTATTTCTTAGTAGGTTTTGAAGCAGTTTCTAAGTAACACACTGAAAATAAAACGCAACAGCAATAATAATGAAGCATCAACTTTACAACACATCATTTTAGATTATTGTTGTCTGCCATCAACTGACAAATTTACGATTTAGTTTTTGAGGACAGAATTTTTAAGAGAAAAGGATGAAAATCGTAATTGTTTCCTCATGTCTGACTCATTCACAGCATCTCAGCGTCTTGTTATTACATACCAGATGTACATCAGTATGATGGTTTGCCACCGAAGGACTGGGTGTTTTACTAAGTTTAGGATACCAGGTGCCAATTCATCCTTTCTCAAAGTTCCCGCACTTGGTTGTAATTTTAGATTTAATCTCTCTTTTCCATTACCAAAAGCAATATATTGCAACACATCTTCAGCTTCTGCCGTTTTCCCTTGGGAATACAGCCATCGTGGTGATTCTGGGAGCATACTAACAGGAAAGAACAGAAAATCAACGATGACAAGTTCATTCCTATGAACACAGCACTAAAGTCAATCTTTCCATCTTGCAGATCAATACTTAAAAAAAGTACCAACACAAAATTCAGAGAAAAGCATTCTATTTGCACTGCTCTGCATATTAAATTCCACATAATCCGATAATAATACAGTTAACCTTACAGAAGGATTGTTGGAGATGCTTGACAAAGCACTCAGTCACGTTAGAGGAGTTAAATCTGAATCTTGACTTCTGCTGGACTGACTTCTTCGGAAACGCTACACTAGCGTTATCCAGGAAGCATCTCAAATCCCAATTATCTGAACAGCCCGGACAAAACTTTGTTTTCACAAAGTTTATTTCAAGCTTCTCTATTATGGGAAGGGCTCTGAGTTGGAGTGGAGAGAAGAGGAAAGAAACCTTACTGGGGAATTACTTGTCGGGCTCCAGTACCAGCCCATCACTGCCCACTTAAGTTTTAAATCTCTTGTTCCCAAGTATAATCAGAATATCATTGCTTGCTACAACTTCAGTTCATGAGTCCTGGTTTTTTCAGGTTGTAGAGTGTGCTGCTGCTTTTATACGAGCCATAAAAAAAAGAACAGAATATTTTTAACCGAACCTTTATTTTCTCTGGTACTCGTAACAGAGATCCTACAACCAAACCAAACTTTCATTACTTCAGAGGATCCAAATATTTTGAGTATTTGGGGGATTTTCCATCAGAAACAGAACACCGTAGAGGAAAATCTGTTATGCAGAACTTCTTTCCTCAGCCCAGAGGCTTTCTTTTCCTTGACTACATGAAGAGGGGTGGGGTGCGGGTTTTTTTGTTGTATTCTTTAACAGAACTTATTTCAAAAGCAGATCTATCTAAGAAAAATAATTGAAATTTAAAAAATTTAAATAAAAATCAGAAGAGGGTTTTTTCTATGCTGTGTGCTAGACATTCCCTGTATTAATGTATAGACAACCTACTACACTAATTCTTTTATTTCTTCTATAGCTTTAACTAGTGATCAGAAGTATACAAGGTGTATTACTTGATATGTTAAAAGGATATTTTGTAACAATGCAGGCCAGATAAAGCTAGCACTTTTAATTCCTTAAATACTGATGCATTTCATAATCATTTTTATGATAATGTCCACGTAGGAATTCTAAATAGGAGCACCCAAGCACAATAGTGCGAGGGACAGACACAAGGGACTTCAAATGCAATCAGATACATAGCGTATCATGCTAAAAAGGCAAGTCCAAGTGCTCTTACTTATTTCCCTTTGCATGCATGTGTCTCACGAACAGAAACACTAAAATCCCTCTAGGATCACTTCCAAAACTTCTCAAGTGCTGCAGCCCTTCCTTGGCAGAAGGCAGTGTTCCCGGCTGACGCTCCAGCTCGCAGCTTCTGGCAGGCCTTCCCTTCCCCAAGCAGATTTGTAATTGAGTTTTATTGGACAGCTAGCACACAGCTGCTCTTTGCAACACTGGCCACCACAACTGTAACAGCATGCAGAAGCACAAGCTTGTCTTCTGGGCAACCCTGACCTTCTGCTTCGTTTAAAACTGCTTCTTCCTTCACAATGTGATTTTTCTCGTTTGGTTCACAAAAACCATCAGAAAAACATCATTCTTGTTTATACCACGCTCTTGAACGATGACAAGAAAAAGTAACTGTGAAATTGCTGCATATTTTTTCTTATCATTATAATGCACGTGAACCACTTACAAAGAAAGAAGAAGGAAGATGACTCCTGGAGTATTCGATACCAAGGCAAGGTAGCGCCATTCTCTTACACAGTAACCCAGTAAAGCATAAACAGCAATGCCAACTGCAAATGTCAAATTAGTTAACGAACCTGAAAATACAAGGCCAAAACGGTGACTACAGAAACCATTGGCAAAAGAAAAAAAAAATTCTTAAGCAGAAGCCTGAAATTCTTATCCCATGATATACCTAAATAAAATAGCAATTTGATGAGGCATCTTTAGGGCACTTGTGAACCAGATGGCTTAAGTATTTTATGCAATCCCAATAAAGAATAGCTTTGTATAATGGGGGCGGGGAGATGTTTCCCCTTTCAAAAATAAAGGGTGGCACATAGGAGAGAGCAAGAAACGAACAGGAACCTACAGACTAAGGAGAAAACCTGAGGACAGGAAGGGGAAGTGTTGAGAGTGAGTGATTTATTTAGGTCTATTAAGGTAATCTTGAATAGAAGTGGCAGGCTGGAACAGAAATTGGAAGTTATAAAAGTACAAGGACTGAGTTCAGTACAAAAACAGCTGCAAGCCAGAGGTTTATTACAGCAGACTTCTGATGAACAAGCATAAATAAAAATGTTAAAAATATGGGGTCAACTTGAACTCCAAAAGCCTAACAACAAACGCTCTGCAGACTAACACAGGAGATCTTGTACGAACCCAGAAACTCTCAGCTATCGCCCACAAAGCCTAGCTCACAGCCGACACCTAGGAGAGCTTCTTTAACACTGCTGAGCTGCATCCAGCAGCTCCCTCTCCTTCAGCCCCTGATCAGTTGTTCAGCACCTCTTTCTCAACAGCTGAGCAGAACTAGAATAAAGCACCTAGAGCAACAAGCAGCAGGAAACGGACTATCTCTTCGGTCCATCAGGAGGCTGGCCCTGCAGGGAGAAAGGCTGGGAAGAGCAGAGATAGACAACAGGGCAAGGGGGAAGCAGGGGTGGGAGAGAGAGAGGGCACGAGTCAAAAAAGTGAACCCGTGAGAAGAAGAGAATTCAGTACTTTAAAAAAAAAATTAAGTGGAAAACTATAACTAAACCACAACTGTCTCACACATCCCCAGGAGTCCAGAGAGGAAACAAGAAAAACAGCAGAATGAAGTAACTGAAGAAATGAGGGAGAGAGAAATATGCTCACAGCCTCAGCAAGTCAGCATTTGGACCAAGTTTTTCCCCGTGTTGCACTAGCCAAAAAGGCGTTACAGTCTGAGCTACTCCAGCTTTACAACAGATTGACGTGCAAGTGTTAAATTTATTTTAAGTCTTGGCAGTGACATACAAAAAAGGACATTTAAAAATACTGGATGGTCAGCACATTCAGCAGTGGAAAAAACACTATCCAGGCACTAAGTCATTTTATGGCGCAGGGAAACTTCAAAGAACACTTTCAAGAATACCTTCAAGATGCCATACAGCATCGTTCAGAAGTTGGCAGGATCTGCCAAAACATTTTTTTTTTTTTTTTTTACTGTAATGCAGCGTACAAGTTGGGTAATTTTAGGAATCAATGTACCAATTTTAAAACCTCGGTTTTGCCGTTTATCAAACTCAATCCCATCTTCCTTATTCAGGCACCTTTCCCACAGAAATTAGAACTTGGATGAATCACATCACACTTATTTGACTTATGCTACAAACTGACTTTACTTGGTACAAACGTAAGAATTTAAAATGTAAGGTGTTGATAGTCAGAACAATACGTGGCACAGTAATAGTGATTAAATATTCCCAAATCCCACCTGTAAATGACCAAAATGATTTTCCTACATATTCTTGGGTTAGGACAAAAGACACAAGAGCCGTTCCACCATTCACAATTCCAACAAAAAAACGTGAAACTGCAAATGTGTCATAATTTGGAGCTAACGCTGTGACATACCCAAAAACGACATCAAAAAATAGACCTGTAGAGAGAGAATAAAATGTAATTAGTACTTATGCTATGCAGCTTGAACTCAGAAGAAAGGCAGGGAGCACAGTTAGTTACTGACTGTAATGAGTAGTCTACAGTACTCTTGCCTCTAACCTCTCACATTTGGCTTTCTGAAGTGACACCATATGAAAATTACAATCATCTTCAAGTCACACACTTGAGGTCTGCAATGCCAAAGGTGATGTTTCCTTGAGACAATTTTATCATTAAACAAAAAGACCCTTTGGCAGCAAACACAGCTGGAAAACAAAACGCCAGGACATGAGTTACCCACTCTAAAGATGTTTAGGTAAATCATTCTCCCCCGCCTCCTTCCTCCTCAAAAAGCGAATTATTTTTATTGGAGACAATATGGTCAGGCGATGTGTGGAACACTGTGCTCAAATAGCGATAGTCGTAGCAAAACCAGGTTACTTTTCATCTCCCATTGATATTCCAGTGACCACTATGCTGCCCAGCACACTCATACTAACGAATTTTAGTGCTGCCCTACTCTTAGCGAAACACTTATACGCATCTTTGGCTCCATAACATTGACGCAGCAGGGTGGCCCAAGGGCAGCCTCCGGGCAGGGTGGCCCACAGGTAGAAAAAAGAGAGATGCTGTTATCCATGTAAAATGCTTAAGAAAAACCTTTTAACAATCTTACCTGAGATATACACTGGTTTCCTGCCCAGTTTATCTGACAAAGGGCCAAATGTGATATTTCCAATAAGCAATCCAGCAAAAAATAGAGATGACGCAAGGCTCACTTTGTAGGCTTCTTGTTCGATTAGGTACCACTGTCAAAAAAAAAAATCTCCTTACTGTTAAAAGTATTAACACCAAGTTGCTAGCTTCTTCAAAAATAATAAAAATCTATGAGAATTATTCTCTTGCCATTTCCCACTTCTTGCTTTATAGCCAATTAAAGTTTTGTTCAAAGTTTGATAGGTAAGCCAACAGTAGTCATTTTTTTTTCCTAACCGACTCTCACATCTCTACTTTCTCTCCCCCAAGAAATTTCATTATAATATATTACAAGCTTTCAACTTGATAAGTATAATTAGTTGCACTCCAATTCCCAAGCTTTGACAAGGCAACTTATCTTAAGTTACTAAAACACGGAAAGTCTGAGTTGTTAACAGCTTAGCCATTTCAACATTGAACAAGCTTAGCTATTTCAATGAACAGGTAATAAAAATTGTTCATTAAGAAGAATAAAGCATGTTGACTATTGCAGTACGTAGAGAATTAACGCTGTGCAGCTACGCTTCCTGAACCATGAGTAATCCCCGGTGCCCTTCCTCCTTGTACACACCTTGAACTGTTGAAGAGAAGCAGGAAGGGATTATGGAAAGATGTCCTTGTTTCGTAAAAACTCTAAGACCTACTTATTGAGTACTCATTGTAGTTTAGTATCTTATTGTGCACGTGCATTTATAATCAAACAGAAGTTAGAAACAAATGATGGCTTTCTTTATAAAATGTACTTTCTACCTCATCCAAAAGCTAAACTGAGGCAGCATAGTCAAAAATTGTCAGAAGATAAGAAAATGCACTGACAGTGGGTTGAAATCGGAATGAAACTTACAGTGTTTCCTGACGGGGCGAGGCACACAGACAGCTTGTGCAGCCCCCCTGCTACAAAGGAGGAGAATCAACACTCTGAAAAATGCAGTGCAGTGTTGAGATTACAAGTGTTGCTGACATCATGAACTTGGGAAAGAACGGCAATCAGAAAATCCTCAGTGATTTTCCAGGAAAATAATTTCACTAATTCAATGCAAAGCTTTAGCCAAAGAAATATTTAATCATTATTTGAGTATTTCAAATCATTCCCAGTGTATTTACTGGAAAATTTACTTTCAAAAAAATGGATGACTGTCATACTGACTTTTTAAATGACATGTAGTATGTCCTTTGGGGAAAGCAGGAACGATCCTAATCCCATTTGCTTTTTTTCAAAAAAATGGATGACTGTCATACTGACTTTTTAAATGACATGTAGTATGTCCTTTGGGGAAAGCAGGAACGATCCTAATCCCATTTGCTTTTTTTAAGAAGTAGAAGGGTTGGGTTTTTTTTTTAAAAAAAAGCCTAAGGGAAGAGACCTGTGACCAAAATCCAATACAGCATACTAGGACCTCAGCCCTGAAGTGTCTGCCTTGAATGAATACAGATCCCCAAAGAATATTAGGAATTTGCTATAATTAAAAGAAACATATGCTTTTACTCAATCCGAACTCACATAGTGGCAAAGCACAGAGAAGACATGGCTCCATCCACCCAGCAACCCACCAGTTACCTGTGCTCCACCCATCCAGCAGCCTGCAAGACGCAGGGTGCGGGAGCAGGACAAGATTTAACGTGTTGACAGGACGCCTTCTTTAGTCCAGTGTACCCCGTGTTCCAGCACTTCAGAGTTTTGGGGGACTTTTGGATGCTCTGGGAAGGTCAAACTCCTGTGCAGCAGCATTTGCAGCTGGTTTCTACTATACCCCGCTGGGTAGTAGATTCTACCCTATTACATTGGATAAAGGCGTAGCCCCGAAACTTATGGTTTCTTAACTTTCTGAGGAGACTTCAACAATGAAATATTCCTGGGCACGAGTCCTCAGGAAACTTCAAGTCTAAAAATATCACAGCATGTGCTCTCCAAGGCACAGAGCACTGCTGGCATAAGTCCTCCTTCTCTGTGCTAGGACTCCACAGCGTACAAATTTCAAACTCCCAGTCCTCGTCTGCAGAGTGTTTTAAGCTGATACAAGAGACAACACAACTTTATGCTCCTGGATATGGTTGTAAAAATCAACTTCTCAAAGGTAAAGGACCATTTCTACACCAAACGCGAGACTTTCCTGAACTCACTTCCCTAAGCATAACCACTTGTTAAATAAGGCAGGGGACTGAGTTGATGCCAGACCAAGAAGCAGTTCTAACAACTGTATTTTCCGTGAACCAAGCCTGACCTATTATTTACAAAGTCTTAGTAATGCCAAAATTAATCACAATGATTAGTTCTTGAAGCAGAACTGAAGAGCTGCTCTGAAGTTTTGCTGAGCTCCAGAGCAGAACAGTGCCCTGCCAAACCAGAACAGAACTGAAAATATTTACAGTTTAAGCTCCGTCACCAAAATAAAGGAAATAAACTTCACAAAAGCAGCGTCCTCTCTCAGGACAGAACAAGAGAAAAGATTGCTTTTGCAAACTGTTACTTGTGCTGCTTAGCGCGTCACTGGAAGATGCTCATATTTTAACAAGTCTGATACAATAATCTGTGAAGAACGTAACTTTTAAAAGAATGCGTCTATCTACTTTATCTGCACAAAAGGAACCCGTTAAATATTTGTCAAAATTAACTGTAGCTTGCCAACAAAAACATTGCCAATTTTGTTATCACGAAAACAGACATCCTCTCAGCTCTTCAAATCCACATGGCAGTTTGATTTAGTTACTAGACCGCTAGCATACAGCAAAACATTGGCCAGCATCTAAAGATTCCATGAAAAGACTATTAACAATATAATTAAAAAAAAAATCTTACAATAAAGTTACTGAAACGAATGGGAACATAAATTTGTTTCGACGAGTCTTGAGAATTACTACATATTTTGGAAACAGGGACACTGACTTCTGCATTTAAAACCACAGTATTAGTTAAAATTTGCTGATTTCTGATTATAAATTAAGCACTACCCCATAGCACGCATCCTGCTGAGAGTCTGAAACCGAAGGGAGATCTTGGAAAACAGGCTGATCAAAAAAATCTGTTTCTGACAGAGGATATGATCCAATATTGCATCATTCCTTCTTAAGTCTAGTCACTAGATTTGTCCAAGAGAAACATTACACAGTCACATTTGGGATAATGGGAAGGAAGCAAAAATTTGGCACCGGCTGCACCAAGTGCTAACCTGTCTTATACGAGTTTACTGACAACCGCTCCGAGAATTCAATCAGCAGAACTCTGACAGTTCACGCTACAAGGCAAGCCACCCATGCAGTCTTTTTTCTGGCACTGGCAGCGATGCTTAGGTCACTCGCGCTTGCCTGAGTGATTATAGCCCAGGGACTAGCGAAAAGCGAACACAGCCTTTTGCATGGAATTCACCAGGCGTGAGGACGAAGGGTCAAGCTTCTGTCCCACTCAGCAAACTCCAATCTGTTCCATCTCCCACTCTCACCACACCTTAAGATACCCAGACACGTGGTGCATGAGTTTCAGTTTCATACTAGTTTTAATCTTTAAGATGTATCTTCTGTGAGAAACTAACGCAACTCATGGTAAAGCTTACATGCACAGCAGATTGTGCAGACATGACATATTGAACCTTTTCTTGGTAGAAAACAGACATTAGGAGGAGCGCATCCTGAATTCCAGAGTTGCAAACTGTAGTTAAACGCACATTCTTCATTAGTAATGACTTTCTAAAACATCTGAAGGCAAAGAACACTGAGAACAAAATAAATAAAGTTTAACCTAAACTAGTAAGTATTAGATTTACACTGGAAAAGCGAAACTAATAATTTAATCATATCCTTTCAGATTTAAAAATAATAATAAAATAAAAAGCCAGATGGGTGGGTTCCAATAATTTTAATAGCAAAAGCAAAACATTACACTGAGCCCTGCTCAGCTTTTACAAGCGCCACGTCCTGCGCTAGTGGCACCAATCCCAAGAAGAGAAGAAATGGTTAGGCGTGACGGAAGTACTTGCCTCAGTTACTATAGACGTGAAGTTGTCTGCAAAATGGATACGCTTGGCAAGCTCAGCTCTGCTCGTTGGAATTCCTTCTTGGTCTATATGATACTCGGGCACAGCTCCCACAAGCACAATAAGCATCGACTGACAAGCCACGTATACCTTAAAATAAGACACAGCCATTTACCCTAAACAATCCCAAGGAGACCTGATGGAATCCTGTAAGCTTTTCATTAAACTAACAATTTCCCTTTACCCAGCATCACAAACAACATGCCATCGGTCTGCTGTGTTTAAATCCCCAGACACGATCATCGAGGCAGTTGGGAGCGGCGGGTACCACTCCAGAGATACTGGTGCACTTTCAGTGAAAGCTTCATCTTGCCACCCTCCTTCCTGTTGCACAGGTGTTCAGTTTGTTCTTGCTGTCTTGTAGCCAGGCACGGAAAAGGAAGATATTAAGAACTTCATCATAGTTTCATAGCTGAGATCTAACCCTTAGACCAAGATTATTATTATTAAAAAAATTTTACTTACTGTACTCAAAGAATACAACCTATAGTGACAAGTCAAAAAAAAAAAAAAAAAAAGAAATCTAAAGATCATATTTTTAAAAGTCTCTGCTAGTTCTTTCCATTGCAGAGACTGAAACTTTAACCTGATCATTAGGAAAACTAGAATGTGGGGGAATAAAAAAGATTTTCATAAAGAAACCCTTATGAGAATATTTATTCATCAGTATGGGCTTCAAGATGTTTTGAATGTTTTCTGGGTTTTGCGTGCGATTTATTTTATTTTTTCTAACTTCAAATAACATTATCCTTAAGCATATCCAAGTATTAGTGATTTTCAGCACGTTACCATTGATAGAAAAGTTTTGAATCTAGAATGGCTCCCTTCGTTGGGCCACAAGTCTTTGGGTGGTGGATTTGGTTGGACCTTGCTTTAATGTGCCATTTTATCCTGTGCTTACCTTGAATGGTCTTGCAAAAACAAGTTATAAACAAAAACCTGCAATCAGCACAACCTCCCTCCCTCGCAACAGCGTGTTAATTCAAAACGCGGAACTGCACTAACAGGAGGAAGCCTGTTACGAAGAAACTAAGGAGCGAAACAGATACATGTTTGCATGCGGGGGTGCGGACACTATTTAAAGACAAGCACCCTGCATACCACTTTTCACAAGAGATTTAAAAAAAAAAAACAAAACGCCCAACAAAACGGTTGCTGTGGTTAGACTCCATTTCCTTCCACTCAGCAGAAGCTCAAAAGGCACTCTTCAAAAAGTGGAAAATGTGCATAGAAGTAAGGAAAACAGATTGCAAACTTCGAAAAGCTAAGCATGTAAGACAGCGCTGAGGCGAGAAAGAGCTTTGAAAAGCAACTTGCAAAAGGAACAAAACCCACCAAATCCTTTCTGAAACGCCCATGAAACCGAGCGGGGGGCTGAGAGGATGTCTGCCGCAGAAATGCTAGGGGAGGGTTACTTTGCCATCCTCCGCGAGAGTTACTACCTAGGGCGCCGACAGAGGAGCGCAGGGACAGGGCACAGGGGCCAGGACCAGCGAGGGGGAAGGTGCTCAGAGGCGGAGGAGCTGGGGGGGGGGCAGGACCCCGGGCCGGGCCGGCTCTCGCCGTGACGCCGTTTCCTAGAAGGATGCCCGAGCCACCCGCAGCCCTCCGGCGGGGCCGCGGGTGCGGAGGGAGGGCAGTGCCTCGCACCCCCGTCCCGCTGCCGGGCAGGTCAGGAAGCGGGTCCCGAACAGGCACGGGCATCCCGGCAAACGCGGGAAAGGCGGCCGCGCAAGTAAGAGTGCCCGCCCCGGAGCAGCCCCGCGCCGTGAGACACACGCTGCCCCCGGCTCTTCCTCCGCTCGCAGCCCGTCCCGCCGCCGCGCTGCCCGCCCTCCCCGGGATGC